GCAATTTCATCCAACTGGTATATATGGAGCTGGTTGTCTCATCACTGAAGGTTTTGATGCCTTCCCTAACTGATTATTCACGATGGATATGGATCTGTAATTTGCTCCATTTGTTGTGAGGATCCATCATTTTCATGCACCTCTGTTTACATATTCTTCCTGTATTTTCTTTGTTTAGGATCTCGTGGTGAAGGTGGCATTCTCAGGAATAGTGAAGGTGAGCGATTTATGGAACGATATGCACCAACAGCAAAGGATCTTGCCTCAAGGGATGTCGTTTCAAGGTCTATGACAATGGAAATCCGAGAAGGGCGTGGTGTAGGTAAGACCTTGTTAATGTATGTTAGATTTCAGGTGTAATATGGATATATAACTGTTAGAACACTTATTGTTAATGCCCTCAAATTTCTTTCACTTTTCTATACTGGGTGACAATAGACTTTGTACAGCGTTCCGAGTTATAAGAAAATTAATAGAGCATGAACCGGATAGCCTCTTAATGCCAGATTCATTCTTTCTGCTTGTCTTTAATTTAAAGACAGTGTTCTCTTTTTCAGTATAGATGAAAGTTTAAGGATCTGTAGTCTTGAATGTTCCAAAATGATCATCTCATATATCCTTATTGGTTTGCTTATATTTATCTTTTATTTTTTCTTGTTCTTCTCCCCTTCCTTTTTTTTCAAATTGAGAATTCACTTTACCAAATACCAATAATGTGTTTATATTTTGTTGCCTAACATTAAATAGGGCCACTAAAGGACCACATCTACCTCCACTTGAACCACTTACCCCCAGAGGTACTCAAAGAAAGACTTCCTGGTATTTCTGAAACTGCTGCTATTTTTGCTGGTGTTGATGTTACAAAGGAGCCAATTCCTGTTTTGCCCACTGTGCATTACAATATGGGTGGCGTTCCAACAAATTACCATGGAGAGGTATGAAAATCTAATGCAACAACCAAGAGTGTTTTGGTTTTAACCTTTAATTCAGTATAGTTTATGTACTTCAAAGTGAAGGTATTATTTCTTACATTAATTAATTTGTCTCTCTGCAGGTGGTGACTATTAAAGGTAATGATCCTGATGCTGTTGTGCCTGGCCTCATGGCTGCTGGAGAAGCAGCCTGTGCATCAGTTCACGGTGCCAATCGGTTAGGCGCAAATTCTCTTCTTGACATTGTTGTTTTTGGCCGGGCATGTGCTAATCGGGTCGCAGAAATCCATAGACCAGGTGAGTTTGAATTTATTAATTGAATCACCAAGTTCTTATATAATGACACATATGTCTGAGATGCATGGGGCATGGCTTTCATTCCTTAGGGCAACAACAAAAGCCTTTGGAAAAGGATTCTGGAGAGAAGACTATTGCATGGTTGGACAAGCTTAGAAATTCAAATGGTTCATTGCCCACATCTAAGATTCGGTTGAATATGCAAAGAGTAATGCAAAACAATGCTGCTGTTTTCCGTACACAAGAGACTTTACAAGAAGGTAGACATATGGAATCCATTTTGTTTTGTTTCCCTTGTACAGTTACTGTAATCTAGAAATCAACTTGCTGATGCCCTTGATTCACAACTTAGCTTTACTAATCAACTCAGTTACTGCTATATTTATCATCTCCTCGCCCATTTATTTGTCTTGACTGTAGGTTGTCAGTTGATTGACAAGACATGGGACAGTTTCCATGATGTGAAGGTGAAGGATCGAAATTTGATCTGGTAAACTTGTTTAAGCCACTTTACTCTTGCCCGCACGCTTTCTTTGATGATTTTAATTTTTATTTTTCTAACTTTTGTTTGTATTATGTATTCTCAGGAACTCAGACCTTATAGAAACTATTGAGTTGGAAAACCTGTTGATTAATGCATGTATTACAATGCACTCTGCTGAAGCCAGAAAAGAAAGCAGAGGTGCACATGCCCGTGAAGATTTTACGGTTAGTTCCTGTCTATTTCCTTTAGGGATTTCCTTTTCCTCTCTTTATCATTATTAATATGACCATCTCCTTTGGCTTTGCAGACAAGAGATGATGAGAAATGGATGAAACATACATTGGGGTAACTTACACTCCATATTTGTTTTTATTTTTTCAATTGATTTTCCTCTGAATGATGACAGAATTGCAATGTCTTCCCATTTCTATGTATTTGTGTTCTCCCTCTCTCTCTCTCTCTCCAGTCTCCACCCTCGCCACCCAAATAAGCATGTTAAGTTATACCTGCTTTATGATTGTACATGCCTATGCTCATACTAAAATTTTATGATATTAATTTTCCTCCAAAGGCAGGACAAAACCAGTATGAGTTCCATGATAAGATTTTTGTGAATTTGGAAACTTTTTAGACTTTTGTAGCACTAGGATGCTTGATTATATAACCTCTTTCATTTCTATGAACTATGGCATTTCTTAGACCAAACCTATCATTTGAAGTTTAATAGTGAATGAATGATATTCTATAACATATTAACATGACTAGCATCATTTTATCTCCTACCTTATCTGAGTATTGAGTTATTTTGTTTCATGACTTTCATCTTGTTTCTATACTCTACATTTGGGATATTTTTGTGGTTCCTAATATCATGTTACATCAATAAAGGATTTAGTCAGTATATTTATTGCTTCCTACCTCTGCTGAAATCTGCTCCCCTCTGCATAACGATTCCTGCCTGCATATGCTTGTATTTCTGCCAAGATATCAGTCTAGTTCACAAACAAATTTCCTGCCCTTTTACTGCAGATATTGGGAGAATGAGAAAGTAAGGCTAGAATACAGGCCTGTTCACATGAATACATTGGATGATGAAATTGAGACATTCCCACCGAAGGCGCGTGTGTATTAGCATAGCTACATGGATAGTTGTTGGCTAACCAAAATAATCTCACCTCCTTAAAGGTTTCAATAACCTACTTAGGAGATCTTGTATTCTCAAATTTTGGTAATAAATTATTGCAGTCATCTGCCTATGATACATGCAAACATGAAATGTGCAGAAACCTTTTAGTTTACTTTTGTATCTTCTTTAGAAAGGGGACAATTTTAAAAATATGTTATTGTTTTTCAATGTTATTCAGCTAATAATCAAATCATTTGTTGTATTGCTCTATTTCTCTATTATGTTATGGGGATTTTGATTTAGTTTATCTCGCATAACCTCATATTAATATGAGTATTGTTGTATTGCATTACAATCACTTTTTTGGTACACAAGAAAATGTGAGGTTCCTTTAGAGAATGTGAAATTCTTAATTTTTTTTTTTTTTAAATGTTTTTGTTTTTTGTTTTTTGTTTTTTGTTTTTGTTTTTGTTTTTTTGTTTTTTTGTTTTTGTTTTTGTTTTTTTTTTTTTGTTTTTGTTTTTTTTTTTTTTGTTTTTGTTTTTTTTTTTTTTATTCATGAAATCACATTCCTCTAATCCTCTCATATTCTTAGAATATGTTAGATTTTCAGAAATTTTAAATTACTTTAAAACATCCCTTGAATGCCTATAGAATTAGAACATCCCTATAGAATAGATTTTCAATATTGCATATCAATTTATAAACAACTAAAATTCAAAATATATTAATATGGATATTATTCAAAAGATCTCAATGAAATATTTTTATATATTTATAACATCAACTATATTTTAATTATATTTCTATATTTATTATCACATAATTATAATTATAAATTTATGATCACTGGAAAAATTTACTTTAATTAATTGATAATTCAAAATTTTCAATTAAAATAATGGTATTAAAATTAAATAAAATAAAAATGCAACTTTTTTTTTTTTGCATAGTCAAAATTTAAATTAAATATTTTAATTTTGCAAAAAATAAAATAAATATATTCAAATAATAATAATTTATTATTATTATTATTTATTTATTTATTTATTTATTTATTTTTATTTTTTTTTGCATTAGACTGTTGTTTTGCAATGGCCGGCAAAAACAAAAATCGTTTTCAGAGTTGTCGCCTGCTAACATGCACTTTGAAGCTCCTTAGCAAGTATTGTAATGAAATGCAACAGCTAACCACATGCGCTGGTTTTTTATTTTTTTATTTTTTTTATTTTATTAATTGAAAAACCAATGCTTATTAGTAGGCACTGGTTTTTCATTTTACCCAAACACTAGTATGGTAAAAAACTGGGTAAATTCAAATTCAAATGACTAATGATGATGTTCTTAATGATTGAAGATATCAATGGCAAGGAAAACGTTGGCCTTGTTAGCGCATAGCGTGTTTTGTGGTGTTATGGAGTTGGTTTTTTTTTATTTTATTTGTTTATTGTTTCACGAATAAGGTTATATTTATACTGTATATTTGGGTTTAACTTTATATTTTTCATTTTTAATATAATTCAAGTTGGTAAATTTTTTGAATTAGCAACGACAAGTATGCAATTGACGATTCCCTCTGGGTCAACTTTAGTGTCTCTCGAAGCGTATCGGGTGGACCTGGACCGTTGAACGGACATAGAAAGACCCGGACCACATTGTGGTTTACATAAAAAAAAAAGGTCAAGTATGCAATGTTATAGGTAAGAGGAAATTCTCAAAAAGGTCCTCTAACTATGGTCCTTTATCAAATTGGTTATATGACTCTTAATTGAACCCAAATCGGTCCTCCAATTATTAGATTGTGCGTGAACTTTATGTCAAATTAAAAGGCAAAATTAAATGATACATTTTGGAAGAGAAAATTTATAGGGGAAATATATAAGGAGATAGTGTTGTGTTAGGAGTTAAATTAGGTTGTTGCAAAAAAAAAAAAAAAAAAAAAAAAAAAAAAAAGAAAAAAAAGAGTTAAATTAGCAGACGTAAAGGCGCAAAACGGCTTCGTCGCCAAGCTGGGCATCTACGTAAACAAGCTGGGATCGTACACGTGTCATCTCTATATTCGCTGAAACGTTCAAGCCACCTAATTTTTAGCTCGATATAATTTCCCCAATTAATTAATTGAAAACGAAAACCACAACCTGAAAATGACATCCGTAGATATGCTTCCCTGAAATCAATCTCCTCCGTCTATTTGTCATCGCCTTCCCTATAAGATAAGGTTTCAGAGCAATAATATCTATTGCCTAGGAGGCTCAGAAGTCAGAACCCAATTTGCTTAGCTCTTTGGCGCGTGATTTCCACGGACGGGCTATGGTTGCTCTCAATCCCACCGTTTTTTGCTCGTGGATATGAAGATTGATTGATTGTTCTGAACTTCATCGATTCGAGGCAGATTATTGTCCCATACCTTAGCAGTTTGAGTCGAATGAGGTTTTCTGTGAGATCTACAGCTCAAGTTACAGGTATGTTCTAAAATCTAAAATTTATTAGGGTTTTATGCTTAGGATGTTCAGATCTGGTGGTGTTTTGATTCAATTTGATTCTCTGTTTTCTGAAGAATCAAGCTCTTTGTTCCTAAATCGGGTTTCATCCGTTCGTGAGCCTGAGGCTATAGAAGCTTGTTCTATTCATATATTTTTTTGTCTATTGCTGATTATGTTTCAATGGACCAGGGCATGCGTCGGTTCTGCTCCATTACTATGGAGAACGGGAGCATAGCTTTTGGGAGTCCGATGGTTGATGGGCGAGATAAGCTGGATGTTTGCCGATCGATTATATTGATTCATGAACTATGTTGTAAATGGAGCAGTGCAGGATTGAAATTTGTGATGTAAAAGGAGAAATTGGGGCAGAGGAGGCCTAGTTTCAGGGGGCTGAGTTCCAATTGATCTTTTTGTCATCCCAGACCTTTGCCATGTCAGGTGCGCTTGCATGGCAGGTCCCAAATTTAATAAAAATAAGAACTTTTTTGGTTTTGAGGGAGAGATCGCACGGGATATTTTAGCCCGGGATCTCTCCCTTTGGTGGTGTGCCCTGTGTTTACTTGCTTTGCTATTCTTTTGGTCCTCAACATCCAACGTACTCACACTACCAACAATCCCAACACGATGGAAGCTTATGGATCAACATCATCTTGCTAACCAACCATGAAAGGTATAAATCATGCAATTAATTTACATTTCAGATTTAATTTCACTTGGTTACCTTAGTTTAGGAAGCAAAACATGTCAGAATCTGGTTTGTGGCAAAAATACCAAATTCAAATGGTTAAAAAAAAATGATTAAAATTTGAAACTAATAACCTCTTTTATATGAGATTGAAAAGATAAAATTGAAAAGGAGTTTCAAAATTTTCATATATCATTTATATTTCTACAATTGAGTTTCAATATCTTTTTATGGTAAAATTTATGACTATTGATTATAATTATGTTTTTGAATTTTGGGTGTGTAATAGAAAGAAGTTAAAAGTTCTGTACTATCAATTGTTCATAATATTTGTCAAACATGGAACAAGTGGATGCTTTAACCTGTAATGACATTAAACTAACTAGTTGAATGTACTCCCAGCATCAATATTTGGGTTATGGCAGTCACAGATTTTTAGATTATCTAAATGAACATCCACAGGCAATTTTGCTATTCAAGATGGTAAATTTTATCAATCACCAATCATACCTTTATAGGATGAGAAATTGAGGCAAACCAAAGAGTTGTTGGCAAATGACCTTACTCATTTTCTTCTCCCACCTTACTCATTTCTCTCCTTACCATGGAAGTATATGGTTCAAACATCTTTTGTTACTATTCATATTGCTTTTCATGACACATTGCATATTTCATATCTACCTTTGTTGGTTTACCACCTTACACAAGTTTATTTTTAGTTCCTTCTCTTTTATAAACTTTTGGAACTTTGTACACTGGTTGTAAAGCAGTGGATGAGGAAGTTGATGAATATCTTTGTAAATCTGTAGACTTTTTAATAATTCTTGTTGTATTTGATGTTTTCCGAATTTGCAATTGTATGATACATTGTGCTATGTTGAACAATGAGGATGGATGAGTCTGCAATTGGCAAGCTGCACTTTAATTCAAGAGGTTTGGAACAAGACCATTCCATCCAACAGATGTTGACTGTTGATGGATGTTATGGGAGTAGAGTAGTTTTTTTTTGTGCACGGATAAATTGCATTCGCCTGCATAATGACATAGGAGCGTATTCTCGGGTTGAAGAGGAAGGGGAAGATATTGGAGGAGGCAATCCATTTCCAGAGGTGTATAACTAAAAGCTGACGAAAAGCAAGACCGGAGTCTTTTCGTCCAGGTTAAATAGGTACAAAGCCTCTCTTATTTATGAGCTGCTACGGTGGATGAATGTTGACCTGCTTTTGTTGGATGATATCTTTTGCAAGTTTTGATTGAGGTGATATCTTCTTCTACTCATTTATCAACTTTTGCCCAAGCTTATCAACTTATGCCCAAGGAGTATCAGCATTTTGGTTGTTGCACCCATAATAGTTTGGAATATACAATAATATCAGAAATCTGCTGAGAACATATTCCTGCTGCGGGTGAGGTTTGAGTTCACTTTCATACTAGCCGCTATTCTGGCAATGTTGTCCTATCATCCTTTGGTAATTCACACCATCTTCAAGTCTTCTCTTAAATATGGTGCATTTGGAGCTGATTACAAATTTGAATAATCACTTTGCCCTCTTTCTGTTCATTGATCTGTTGAAACTAGATATGCTAAATATCTTTTCATACAATTCTTCTGTACTCTGAGTCTGTGTTGCTAATGGGCATTCAATAAAGGAGATTGCTCCCAATGACCAATCCAGTGGGCATTGCTCAGCCTGCAAACAGAGGAGTAAGCAGAGATATTCGGAGTACTTGGATCTTATTTTGGCAGATAAGAATACCATAGAGGTTATTCCTTAATCACCATGTACTAATGTGTGTTGGTTTTTTCATAGAATCATAGTTTTTCTTGCAACATCTAATTGAATCAAATGATTATACTATCTCATCCAGGCAATGGTTTATATAGTGTTATTTCTTTTGATTTTGATTACTTTGTATTATTTTTGTTGGTGCATTACTTTCAAACCATGAAATAGAATTCTATAAAGTTAGCTATTTCACTTGTAATGTAAATAGTCATTCCCTAGAAGTCCATGGTATTAGGTATCCATCCTCGTAGGAATAGATAAATTTATATTTATTTGTTTGTTTAATTTGTATAAATAAATAAATATATATACCTTATTTTCTAGCCATGATCATCTTAGATGAGTAACCCAGATTTGTCTGCTGTGCATGGAGAGTATTTTCATATGAACTAGAATACATATACACACACACACGCATATAACGGAGGGAATTTTTTTTTTTTTTTTAATAAATATGGAGGCGTTTTGGCAATTTTCTCTAATTTTGAAGTGCAAAAATTTGCACTTAATGTAAAGAGTAATATTAGTTTGAGATATTTACAAAAATGTTATGAGAAACTTAAATTTGAAAGGACACGAGTATATACGAAGTACTACAAAGTGCAAAGATAATGCTGTCAACAGGAAGGAGCTGAGGCGGAGAAACAATTTGATCCAGAAGCTTAAAGATAATGCAGGAAGTTGGGTGAGTGATGAGCAACAAATAAATAAATAATTTAATGAGTGCCTCTACTGCTGGGAGTAATCTACCTGATTTAGATGATATCAATAGCTCTATATCTGATTCCCAAAACGAGGAGCTAGTGAAAACGATCAGCAGCAGCAAAGAGGAGGTTATTAGAGATGCTTTATTTGACATGAAACAGGATAAGTCTTCTGAATACCCAGGCTTCTTTTAACATTATTGGGATATCATTGGAACTGATATTGTGCATTATTGTAATATAATATCTTGCGTGAAGGAAGAATTCCAACCACACTCAGTTAGTAAGGAAGCGAAACCTTTGACCATGGTGGATTTGAGGCCGATTTCTCTGTGTAGATCAGACTTGTCTATAAAATCTTCTCAAAGGTTTTGACTAACAGATTGAAACCACTGCTGGATTCCTTGATCTCAGAGGCTTAGAGCGCATTTATACCTGCTAAGAATTAAGATAATATCACCCTAGCCTAAAGGATGACATTTTTTAAAGAGGAAGAAGTAAGGCAAGGAGGGTTTGGGACTTTAAAACTTGACATGAGTAAAACATATGACAGCGTGGATGGGAAGTTCCTATTGGATATTATGATCATGATGATGGGGGGTTTTGGCCAAAAATGGGTTAACTTGGTAGGAGAATACATCTCATCAGTTACATACAATATCCTCAGAAATGGGCAAGAGATTGGACATATTGTTCCTCAATCAAAGAGGCATTCGCCAAGGAGATCCTCTTTCCCCTTATTTGTTTTTATTACTGGTGGGTGAGGGCCTGAGCATAATGTTAAGGAGACACGAGAGGTTGGGGCTAATGAGCGGGCTAGCTATTGTTAAAGGAGCACCAAAGATATCACATCTTTTCTTTGATCCAGAATATTTTAGGAGTCAAGAAGGGAGTTGAGGATTGTAAGTATTCAGGATTCATCAATGGGTCGTAAAAAAAATGATATCTTGAGTTTTAATTTCTAAAGAACCCGATTTTTATCTAAGGCTGGCGAGGAGGTGCTCCTAAAAACAGTTGTGCAGGCTATACTCACGCACACCATGAGTGTATTCCTATTACCTTTTGCATTTATGTGATATAGATTGAGAAATTAATGAACACTTACTGGTGGGGAAATGGAGGAAAAAAAGGAATACATTAGCAGTCATGGAGTCGTGTTCCTAAGAAAACATGTGGCTTAGGATTCAGAAGGGTACGTGAGTCTAAAATCTAAATGGGAGAAGCCTTCAAGTGGCAATTAGCATGGCTCTTACTATGGGATTTCGATGGATAATAAGAGACTCTAATGGAGCTTTTCTCGCAGCTGCCAGCCAACCTTCGGAAATGTTTTTTGTTTTTTTGTTTTTTGTTTTTTTTTTTTTTTTTTTTTTTTAATCTAGAGAGGCACAAGTCATGACCATTTGTGAAGCTCTTAGATGGACAAAAGCGAGAGGCTATGAAAAAGTGAAGGTAGAAATGGATGCCCGGCAAGTTTATCAAGATATTCAATCTTTGTCGGATAGTAGATATTGGTTTAATTTACTTTGATGTTAAAGAAATTGCTAGCACTTTTACTTTTATTGATTTCTCTTGTGTTAAACCGGTCTGCGAACTGGGTTGTCGATGCTTTAGCTAAGAAATTTGTTTCTTTGTGTGACAGGGAGGAGTGGATTTGTACCCCTCCTGTCTCTCTTTTGGATGCTCTTAGGGTGGATTTAATGTCTTAATTTTAAAACAAAAAAAAGGACTTATATTACAAAGTTTGAAAAACTTTCCTTTTAGAGTCATTGATCTTGATAGATCAATGACTCAAATCTCTTAACACATGATCGGGACTATATAATATATATATATATATATATATATATATATATATATATATATATATATATAATGAGAACCCACAATCTCTCATATAAGTGAACAATTTGGTGCCATTGGATTACAAGGTTTGTCTTTTTTTTTTTTTTTTTTTTTTTTGAAAAGGGTTTTAGTCTATTAGTTATGCTTAAATTGAAGACTTAGTCCATAAGTTATTTCTCTATACAACTTTTCCCATTTAATTATGTTTAGAAGGATTGTTTCAACCCATTACTTATTATTATTTTTTTAACATTAAAAAATTATTTTGATTTGTTAAATTATTAGAGAATAAATAAATTGGTCATTTTGTACATTTTTTCCAATTATAAAAAGGTTTTCACATTGATGATTTAAGTGAATGTTGGGTTTATTGTAATGTTGATTACACCAGAATACCTTAGTCTAAAATTTAGGCATAATTAATGAACTAAACCCGTCATTTTCTCTCTCATTTTTTTTTTAATTTCAAGAAAATGAATTTCTTAGTCTCTTTATATATTTTATTTTTTCACACTTTGAGAAAATATATAATATGAATTTCTATATTAAACTCACATATCTTTATTATGTAAGAACAATTGAGTCTTTATACTAATTATTTTCAATAATTTATTTTCCACTGATACACAACATAATCAATATTTCAAGTAATTTGTTTTTCAAAACTTAAATTCAATTCATTCGCAATTCTTTTTAATAATTTTTTTTGAACTAAATTAGTTGTTAAATTGTTTATCAGAAAGATAAATTTCAAAAAATTTATCGCATTGCGATTTAATCATGTTGCACTGTAATTTTAATTGATAAAAAATTACTTTTTAATTATCATTATGAGAAGGTCAAAATTGGAACATGATTAAAAATTTAAAAATTATTTATATCTGCATTAAATAGTTAAGAACTAAATTTATTATTTAATAATAGGAAAAATTCAGTCTCATATTTTCGTGTAATCAACATTACAACAAATTCAAGATTAACTTGAAATCATGTGAAAAGCTTATTTTGTCATACTTGAAAATTTTTACAAAATAACCAATTTTTCCTCTAATAACTTATGACAAATCAAAGTAAATTTTTAATTTTAACAAAATTTATAAGTAATGGACTGAAACAACCACTTTCAACATAATTAAAGGGGAAAATTGTATAGAGCTATAATTTTGAACTGAGTCTATAATTTAGGCATAATTAATGGATAAAAATTGTCATTTTTCCTTTTTTGAATTCTTTATTTTCTCATATTTATCTTCTCTCCCATCTTTTTTCAAACTAATTTTTGAATTATCATCATTACCATCACAACTACGAGCATGACCAACACCAACACCATCACCACTACACTAGCACCATCACCATAAAACCAAAACCACCGAATCCACCAGTGCCAATACATCACCACTATCACACCACAACTTATTATTATTATTAAGGAAAATGGTCAAATAGGCCACTAAACATTACTCAAGAAGTCAATTAGGCACTTAAACTTTCAAATGTTGAAATTAAGCGTTTATACATATCATTTTAGAGCATTGAGTCCCAAAAACCAGTTGGTGACCTATAATTACAGGTCACTCAGATTCTGGTGAATTTCTGACCTTATTCCGATAAATAACACTGGCGAAACAGTCGCTTGTGTCATTTAGTTGCCTTCTCCGGCGAAGGAGAAGGTAGACCAACTGATTTGGTCTGCCTTCTCCTTCACTAAAGAAGACAACACTTTGGTTGCCTTCTCCGACAGCTAGAGAAGGCAATCAAATAGGTCGCCTTCTCCAGTCGCCGGAGAAGTCGACCCAAGAAGAAGACCCCGGTCGCTGTTTCTTTCGCAGTAGAAGTGATTCATCCAGTCAATAAAAGGGCTAAGTATGTCTCAATTCAGATAATTAAAGGACAATATTTATCAGAATTAAAAATAAGGGGTGACATTTATAATCGCGTAATAATAATAGACGGGTTAAAATTACTTTCTATTTTTATTTTGTGACGTATAAAATATTTTTTGACGCCAGTATTTTAGTTCTTACTGGGTGACTGAAGGAGCTGAAAGTTGAAACAAATGCACGATGGACCATAAGAAGATATATTCTGCTAAAAAACATAATCACTTCACACTGCTTATCGCCTAAGCTAAGTGAGAGAGAGCAAGAGAAATGGCCCCAAAGAACTCCTCGTTCAAGGCATGCCGCCCCACATTCCTTTTTCTTTTTTTACTTTTTAGGAAATAAAAAATCATATAATCTCATTTTTAGCTGACGTCTATTGTATAATAATCTGTAAATAGATAATCACCGGGTTTTGTTTTTGTTTTTTGTTTTTCAGATAATCTTGGGTTCGTCTTCATTTGCTCGCCGGAAAATTTTGGCTGAGATGGGCTACGAATTCACGGTCATGGTATGCTCCGCCTCCATTTTGTGTGCCTATCTCAGAATTGCTTTATGTATATATCAATTGTGTATTGTGAAATAATTGGTTGTGGACATAATTTTTCTTATTTAAATTGGGGATTTGATTTTAGTATAATGTGGTTTAGATTGCTGATATAGATGAACAAAGCATAAGGAAGGAAAAGGCAGAGGAACTGGTAGTAGCTCTAGCTGAAGCCAAGGTACGAGGATAAACCCATTCTCATTTTCACTGTGTTTATTTACTTTAATTGTCAAGAATATGGGGAAAACAACAAAAATGTGGTGTGTTTATTAGCATTTGCATCCAGAATTACGCCACAACTAAAGCCATTCTTATTAGTGAAATGAGCAGAAGCTTACGAGGAATGCATAAATTTGTTTGGTTTTTAGTTGTGACATGTGAGATTATTTTATGGCCAAGAAAATGATATGATTGCTTTACCCTGAGGTAGTCAATTTGAGCATCATTGATATCCTATAATAGTGTTTTTGTTTTAAATTTGTAGTACTAGATAGTTCGGGTTGAATAAATTAAAGTTTATAGAGATATACAGGAGAAGGTCCTTGCTACTGTGGATAATGCTATTTTTCCCTACTAAAATCACTCCCTAATGTTCACTTCTTGATGTGGTAACATAAGTAAAACACTTTATTTTCATTTCTTGCTAAATGCTAAAGAGAATCTTCCTGGCTTGTTTCGATTTTGCTAAAAATATTCTGGTTATTGATTGGAGTATAGTGTAGAATAAGAGTGGACACTCGTTATCTTTTTGTCTTAAGCTTAGTTAATAAACAACAAAGGATTCTGATGTTGACATTTGAATAGTTCTCCATTCAAAATTGATGAAGACGAGATTTGGTGGGATGAGTGGTTCTGGAATTTGATTCTCGCCAACTAATTAATATCTCTGACACGTTTTAATTAGGTTCATGTGTTTCTTTTATTCAGTATTCTTTTTGAGATTATATGTTCATTTATCATGCGTTATTATTTAGAATGCAATTGGTACTAACACCTTGATTTGTTTGTCTTAGGCAGATGCTATCATGGAAAGGCTCAAGAGTACTGGTGAAATGAAGGAAATTCTCGGACCTACACTGTTAATTACTGCTGACACTGTATGTTTTCTGTCATCTAGTTTTCACAGTAGCATATTGGGCTTCCTCATTTTGCATGACAAACCTGTTTTGAATTGCATAATACATATTTGAGATCATAATTCTTTAATAATTTCATTAGACCTTTTCAGGTCTACTAACGCATCTTTGTGTAATTTTATTACTCTATCAAGTTCTTTAATAAATTTTCCACATGCAAATGTTGAGCTTTCTCACATGTCATCTTGATTATATCTTGCCATCAAGTGGCATGCTGCACCCAAGTACCTAACCACGTGTTTAATTCTGATATTTTATTGGTTTGTTGAAGAATTGATTTCTAAGGCTATGACTTATATGCATCTGATGATATCAAGGTGGCGGTTTATGAAGGAGTCATCAGAGAAAAGCCATCAGGCAAGGAAGAAGCACGTCAGTTCATCAAAGGTTTGGTACTTTCACCTCTCTATCAAATTATTCTTTGCAAATAATGTTCTATTGAATGGATCTCATCTTAGGGTATTCCGGTGGTCAAGCTTCCGTGGTGGGATCTGTTGTAGTAACCAACCTCACGACTGGCAAAAGAAAAACGGGGTGGGAATTGTCTGAGGTATATCTTTTTCCATTTTATGTATTATTACATGGTTGTCGTTCCATAATCTTAGATTTTCGCAACTTTGCAACATTATTGCATCTCGAAGATGAATGTTTTGCCACGTATCTATAACTGTAGGTCTATTTCCACGAGATACCAGATGAGGTGATTGATAACCTGGTAGGTAAAAATTCTAGTGCGTACATAACGAACACTACTTTCACTGCTCATGATAAATCATTAACTATTCATGCGTTTTTTCCTAGATTGAGGAGGGAATAATACTCAACGTGGCTGGCGGTCTAATGCTTGAACATCCATTGACATTGCCCTTTGTTGACACAGTGGTTAGTCTATTACCGAAGACTCTTCCTCTCTCTATTGCTCTTCAGATATGCATATCGAGAGAAGATTTTACTAGCATTATCATTGCCATTTCTGCAGAATTATTTGTTCATCCATCCTTATTTAGTATGTGCTGTTTTTGTTGGAGGGTGTCTCCTAGGATCCGTGAGATGGGTTGAGTTAAGATTGAAATGTAATGCTTATGCTAGAAATGTAACTAATCAGGAATAAATTATTTGTTACTTATAAGTAAAAATGTAATATTTTTGGGAGAAAATGTGATGTGATACTTTTAAATCAAAATGCCAGTGACCTTGGGGTCTAGTGGCATGAAGTGACTCTCTCAAATGGGAGGTCATGGGTTCGAGCCTTAGTGGGGGCAGTATTGACTCTTTGTGCTTCAATAGTTTGAGAAAGTAGATATGAACAGATACTACATTGTAACATAGTCGATAGTACTCAAAAGGAATACTTATAAAGTCCTGACCCGTCTCACAGACGAGGGTCTGGGGAACGGTCTCATAGGAGATTTTTGCCTTTGTTGGAACTCTTACTAAGATGGTTGTTCATTATTTGCAGGTTGGAACTGCAGATCATGTCATGGGACTTCCAAAGGCTCTCACTGAAAAGCTCATTGAAGAAGCTCTCTGAGCCTCACTTTCTGATTTTTTTTGTCCCTATTTTTTAAAAAATTTGAAATACCACAAAACATTATATGGAGTCAGTAAAAAGATACAAATTACAATGTGTGTTTGAACTCATTTTGCTAGAAGAGTTTTAAGATTTTCATTAACCATAGCTTGTGAAGGTTTATGACTTTATGCAGCTTAAGTTTCAGAATCAATGTTAGAATTTTTTAAATTTAAAAATTTAAAGAAAAACTATAAATAAGTATGCTCTAAATATTATATAATTCGAACACTAATTATCTTCCTATAGAATCAAATTATTAATATTTTTCCCAGTTAATAGTTCTGTTTTGGTCAGTTATGGTTACTGACCAAAATATTATGTAATTCGGTTAGGGTTTCAAGGCGGGACTTATCAGTGCAAGTCCTTGACTAATGGCTACGGATTTTCTTCATCATCCAAAATTTTTTTATTAATATTTCATCCAAAAATTTTAACCAACAAATTAGTAGATAAATGATTAGATGTAATCTTTCAATCATGCTCAATTTACTTGACATTGTTGATTATCCACAAAGGGGCGTGACCCCTTGGCGCATGGTGTAACTTGACCACTATTTTTTTTTTTTTGACATTACTTGACCACTATTTATAGTATACAAAAATAATTTACAAACTATTACTCCGTATTAAATAAGGACAACTAGCATACTATTATCAAAATTTGTCCGCTTTCTTTACTCTTTTTTTTAGCATGTGCCCTCTTAATCAAACACTTCTTTATGTCTTTATTTTCTTTAACATTTGCTTATAATTTTTAGATTCAATTTTTTTTTTTTTTTTGGTGCTTTCTAATACTTTTTTTGTATATAATTTTTAAATATATGAATTTTATATATAGAATTTTAAATAATAGAATGACGAGTATCTGATCAACAGAGTTGATTAGTTACAACTTATAACATTTAAAAATATGAGAGGTATTTATAAAAACGTAAAATTGTTAAGGGGAAAAAAACAACACAAAAGGTCCCACCGAGATTTGAACTCGGGTTACTGGATTCAGAGTCCAATGTCCTGACCACTAGACCATGGGACCTTGATGTTACACCCTGATCAATATCTCTTTCTAATCTATAGGGAGAAATTTCATAATTTATAGGGATCTAATTCGATGTATATTTTCATTGGTTAAATAATACATTTTTTTTTCTGATTTAAATTCAATAATAAAATTACGTTTACTATTAGGTTTGATTTATGATTTTTAGAGTGATATACAAAGAAAGACAATTATACAATAATGTTTTATAATGTATGTATTTATTTAAATTTTTGAGTTACGATTATTGAAATAAATAATACTTAATATTTAGATTCAATACACACACATATATAGAGATTGTTAATTGAAATCTAAATAACTCTATTAAACACTTTTTTTCTAAATTTATTACTATAAAAAAATTATATGTTTTGAATTTTACAAATTACTTTTTCTATTTCAATTCTTATTATTTTAAAGGGAAAATGGCACTTTTCCCCCCTAAGTTATATATTTATAGCACTTTTTCCCCCTCAATTATTTATGTAAGCACATTAGCCCCCTCAATTATTTTAAAAGTGGTGGTTTTTCCTCTTAATATATTAAATTGACATTTCTACCCTTAAAGTAAACATTTTATTTATTTTACTTGTCCAACAAATTATTGCGTATATGTAGCGATTACCACGGTTCGGTTCGAACTGAACCAGACACTATAGCAATCGAATTAAAAATTTTCGGTTATGATTCAGATCTAGAACTCAATATTTGGATTTCAATTTATTAAATTTAAGAATTAAAAAAAAACTGGATCATGAACAATGAACTGGCGGTTCCGGATCCGATTCGCGATTTTAAACCGTCTTTATTTTAAAATTTTATTTTTTATTTTAAAATAGTCTAAATTCAACAATAAATGTATTTTATTTTTCAAGTTCGGAACATGAACCGGCCATTCCGGTTCGCGATTTTAATAAACTCTAAATATCGCGTTTTGATTATAAATTGTAATTGAATATTTTGGTTTGGTTGCTATAGTATCTGTTTGGTTTGAACCAAATTATAGTAATAATTTGTTGGAGAAGAAAAATAAATGAATTATTTATTTTAAATATTTATTTTAAGGGTAAATATGTCCATTTAACATTTCGGGGGGAAAAAAAAAGCCACTTAAATAATTCAGGGGGGAAAAAGTACTATAAGTATATAACTCAGGGGGAAAAAGTGTCATTTTTCCTATTTTTTAAATATATTTCAATATAATTATCATTTAAATGTTAATTAGAAAAAATAGGCGCTCACTTCATGCAACACATGTATTGTTGCTAGTATATGTCATGAATTATGTGTGAATGATTATTGGTGTAGGAAATGATATAAATCCTGCAAATCAAGTCATTAAATAAACTAAATTTATACTCTTTTGACAATTTTGTTCTTTTTTTTTTTATTATTATATATAAATTCTAAAGATCACATTTTATTATGTGAAAGTGTATATATGCACATTAACATAACTTGTACATTATGTATTTTTATTTGGGAAACCCTTTTCACACCATATAGTCATAATAAATAAATCTATATAATAAATTTAAAAACATTGAAGGAAAATCATAATAAATAAATAAATGCACAATTACAATGAAGGGAAAGAATCTCAAAAAATATGTAGGTATCTTACATACTAAGAAACAAAAAACACATGCTTAAATCTAGCTAGGCATGAACACAAAATATGTGTAGCCTCGAAATTGCGCCACGAGTCTATGCACAAACATCAACGCCTGAAACCTCCGCCATTGCCCGCTTGTCGTTGTCCATGTTGGCACCTTCACGACCATGCAGATGGCCGCACCATGTTGTGCGTGGGGCGCCTAACCGGCTGTGCCTTGGCGCACCACCTCTTCCCCCGTTTGGTCTCACCTCCCTAACCCGGACTTAGCCATTCCATGGTTTTCTACTCCCTTTAAGGCCAAACACTTATTCTTTCACCTTATATACGTACTCGGGCTTAATTTCATACCATTATTGGATTACCCATTGAGAAACTATGACCACTAGGCCCTGGCTGCTAGCTCCATCAAATACTATAATGTATCTTCATAACATAACATACAACATATTAATGTAAAAAAGAGTATGTAGGAAAACTGTACTCTTTGACAGGTTATTATATATTTCAATGTTGCAAAATACGTTAGGCGCCCCCTAAAAATTGTAAAATTCACTAATAAAATATAAGGTTCCTCTACTTTTTTCTTACAAATTATTTATGAAAGTGGTTGTAAAATCGTTCAAAATATTGTTGAAACCATCTAAATACATAAAAAAAAAAAAATTAAAATTAAGAGCAAAAGAAGCATTTTTTGAAGAAATTAGAGGGCCAAACCACCCTCGGTTGTTTGCAGTGTATATATTTATATTTAGGGACGGAGCCAGAGGGAGGGCAGAGGGGTCAGCTGCCCCCCCTCACCCCACCCCCACCCCCACCCCATATATAATATGTATATGTATATATGTATATATAGTATATGTTTTAGTATTAGTACAAAAAAACTAGTAAATGTCAACAAGTAAGAGTTAGATTAGTTGGTAGAGCATATCTATGCTAATAAGAAAGGTTTTGGGTTCGAAACCTTGCATTAGCATATTTTGTCCTTCCCCTATGGCTTTAACACATTTACTTTTTTAATATTTAACACACACACACACACACACACACACACACACACACACACACACACACACACACACACACACACACACACACACATATATATATATATATATATATATATATATATATATATATATATATATATATATATATATAAAACATTCTTTTATATTAATAGTGATATGTATAATTTATAATGTGTTTTCTATTCAAATTATTTTAATAAATTACAATTATATTTCTTAAGTAATGGTTATAAAAAAAAATTCTTAGGTAATTTATTTATCTTTTTTAAATTATATCTTTTGTTTTAATGTTTCGCTTTTACTGAAAAAAATTTCTGAATCCGTCCTACTTCGCCCCTCTCAATCGAATTTCTGGCTCCGTCCTGTTTATATTGATATTGATGATATACATGTATGTATGTATGTGTATAGGGTACATAAAAGCAAATGAGTTATTATTATATAAATAAAATAAAAAGTTAAGTAATATAAAATGAATTGATGTGGAGAGAATTATGAGGATTCGATCAGAAAAAAGGGGAGGAATTTGAGGTTTCCTTTGGGCACAAGGCTACAAGCCCTTTGAGGGGACAATTAGAGGTTACAGTTTATTCTTTAGAGGTAACTTGATGTTGACCAGATCTTCACTTTCCTTTCCATCATACAACTTCACTTCACTTCTCATCTTCTTTAGCTTCTCTCTCTCTCTCTCTCATTAAACATAATTTGAATTTATTTTTTTTATGTTTTATCTTATATATTTATATATAAGTAGGTCAATTAAATACAACATCTTTTCTTTTTTTTTTTTTTCCTTTACGAATAAGTAGATCAACCACACCAATCCATAGATAACCTAGTCCCCACTGGCAAGCAAGACAAAAGCTAGAGAGAGAGAGAGATTCATTCCAGTTGTATCTCGTTACTTTTGAGGAATGTTTGTGTCTTTTTTTACTAGAAGTTCTCGAACACTGTTTTGTTCTCTTCGTAGTCGTCCAATTCATTTTTTATTATTATATAAAAATATAATCCAAATTCTTTTTTTACGATCATCATATCACCTTAGCTTCAAATCTCTCTCTGTCCAATTAACACATTTGCATGCATGCACGCAATAGCTTCGAAATTATTAATATTAATAATTTGGGCGGCTCGTGGATTTATGTCTAATGATTAATCCTTTTGGGTGGCTTGGCTAGGATTAATGTATATATTTGTTTGTTAAGTTAATCAAGGTTGATATATGCAATATTTGGAGAATTGGTCCACCAACTTGGTCGTCTTGGGTCCCACCAAATCCAACCAACCACGTAACATCATCATTCTTACTTACAATCTATATATTGTGTACCTCATAGTATAATTTGATTGTTGGTATGAGGAGACATAGGTATTATAAAAACATACCACAAATAATATAAAATTAAAGGTAATGATA